AATTAACACCAGTTGTCGAGAGGGTGAAAGCTCGGTTAAGTGAACATACATTCGTCTGAATCAATTACCTGTCTGTTTAACTGTTAATTGATTACTTAGGTTAAATAGGGCAATAAGCATTGTCGAAGTGAGTCCACACAGTTAAATTCATCCAGTTGTTGAGCACTGTTGTGGGGGACGACAGTTATTGAGTAAGGTAAAACGTTTTGCTGTAGTTATCTGTCCGTGTGGCGGCAGTAATTAGTCCCCCTCCAGCTAATTATGGGTAATTAACGTCAACAAGATGAATTCACAGAGTTCGAAGGAAACTGTTGGGAGTATCAATATTTGAGTTAACGTCATTCTTTCTCTTTAATTAGCAGTTCGTTTAACAGTTAATTAATTACTCAAGTTCATTATGGGTAATTAACATCCTCAAAGTGAATTCATTATAGTTGGGATCTGTCGTAGGCGACAGTAATGAGGTAAACTGTTCTAGTCAGTAGACCGTTCCAGTCAGATGTCCATTAACAGTTAACTGATTAGTCAGGTTAATTAAGGGTAATTAACGTCAGCAACGTGGAATGTGACATAGACTTGATTGGAAGCTGCCGAGAGGGTGGTAGCATTGTCTAACGTAATTCATTTCCACTTAATTAGCTCTCCGTTTAACAGTAATCAATGTAATTACTCACTGAATGCTTAATGAGTCAAGTGCTGTGTAAGTCTGGGTAGTGAGTTATCGTTGTGATTTGTTTGACTGGTCTGAGGGAGACCAGAGTTGTGATTAACGTAGTCTGCTTTGTTGCTGACTGACACTTGACAGTCAATTAATGTAATTAGTCAAAGAGATCAATTAGTGTAACTTTGATAGTATTGGTTGTTGGACTCGTCCTTGGAGACGAGTGTTAAGGTAACTATGATGGGTTACCTGACGCTTGCCTCATTAACCTGCCTTGTTGTTGTTGGCATTGTAACTGTATTGCAGAGTGCTGCAAGGGTTATTGCAACTTGTGTTTTCAGAGAGCACTCTGATTTGTTCAGTTAGTTCAGTATTCAGCCTCGCGGCGAAGGAGACGACTTCTTGCTATACTTGGTTGTTAATTAACTAATTTTAACGTGCCACTGAACAAAATTAACGTAATGTAAAGATTGTTGTTGTAGCAGACTTAGTGTTTTGTTGAATACATTTGTTATTGTTGAAGAAAACAATCTTTATGTAAATCCCCAATATTATTGTCGTACATATATATTCTGCTATGTCGAACTAATTTGTGATTTTTAATGAAGGCCTGCTACTGGGATCGAACCCGATTTATAGTCGCATATATCAAATAAAATTTGGCGTGAGAACTCGTGACCTGCTCCTTTATTGCACTGGCATTAGAGGAGGTCGACGACCCCTTTATTGCACTGGCATTAGAAGAGGTCGACGACCCCTTTATTGCTCTGGCATTAGAGGAGGTCGACGACCCCTTTATTGCACTGGCATTAGAAGAGGTCGACGACCCCTTTATTGCTCTGGCATTAGAGGAGGTCGACGACCCCTTTATTGCACTGGCATTAGAGGAGGTCGACGACCCCTTTATTGCACTGGCATTAGAAGAGGTCGACGACCCCTTTATTGCACTGGCATTAGAAGAGGTCGACGACCCCTTTATTGCACTGGCATTAGAGGAGGTCGACGACCCCTTTATTGCACTGGCATTAGAAGAGGTCGACGACCCCTTTATTGCACTGGCATTAGAGGAGGTCGACGACCCCTTTATTGCACTGGCATTAGAAGAGGTCGACGACCCCTTTATTGCTCTGGCATTAGAGGAGGTCGACGACCCCTTTATTGCACTGGCATTAGAGGAGGTCGACGACCTAGTGGATAAGGAGTTAAACTTCATTAAAATCCTGGCGGGTCCTCCCGCCTCTCTATGAAGAAAGTTTAAAGTAAAAGCTGCCCTGATGCAGCCCTTTCTGCTGGCATTCAACCTCCAGGGCTAGGCTCATGGTGTGGCTAGGGTCATGTTGTGGCTAGGCTCATGGTGTGGCTAGGGTCATGTTGTGGCTAGGCTCATGGTGTGGCTAGGGTCATGTTGTGGCTAGGCTCATGGTGTGGCTAGGGTCATGTTGTGGCTAGGCTCATGGTGTGGCTAGGGTCATGTTGTGGCTAGGCTCATGGTGTGGGTAGGGTCATGGTGTGGCTAGGCTCATGGTGTGGCTAGGGTCATGTTGTGGCTAGGCTCATGGTGTGGCTAGGGTCATGATGTTGCTACGCTCATGGTGTGGCTAGGCTCATGGTGTGGCTAGGCTCATGGTGTAGCTAGGCTTATAGTGTAGCTAGGGTCATGGTGTGGCTAGGCTCATAGTGTAGCTAGGCTCATGGTGTGGCTAGGGTCATGGTGTGGCTAGGCTCATGGTGTGGCTAGGCTCATAGTGTAGCTAGGCTCATGGTGTGGCTAGGCTCATGGTGTGGCTAGGCTCATAGTGTAGCTAGGCTCATAGTGTGGCTAGGCTCATGGTGTGGCTAGGCTCATAGTGTGGCTAGGCTCATGGTGGGGCTAGGCTCATAGTGTGGCTAGGCTCATGGTGTGGCTAGGCTCATGGTGTGGCTAGGCTCATAGTGTAGCTAGGCTCATAGTGTGTCTAGGGTCATGGTGTGGCTAGGATCATAGTGTGGCTAGGGTCATGTTGTGGCTAGGGTCATAGTGTGGCTAGGGTCATGTTGTGGCTAGGGTCATGGTGTGGCTAGGGTCATGGTGTGGCTAGGGCCATGGTGTGGCTAGGGTCATGGTGTGGCTAGGGTCATAGTGTGGCTAGGGTCATGGTGTGGCTAGGCTCATAGTGTGGTTAGGGTCATATGGTGTTGCTAGGCTCATAGTGTGGCTAGGATCGTGGTGCGGTTAGGTTCATGGTGTGGCTAGGCTCATGGTGTGGCTAGGCTTATGTTGTGGCTAGGCTCATGGTGTGGCTAGGCTCATAGTGTAGCTAGGGCCATATGGTGTTGCTAGGCTCATAGTGTGGCTAGGATCGTGGTGCGGTTAGGTTCATGGTGTGGCTAGGCTCATGGTGTGGCTAGGCTCATGGTGTGGTTAGGCTTATACTGTGGGTAGGCTCATACTGTGGCTAGGCTCATGGTGTGGCTAGGCTGATGGTGTGGCTATACGCATGGTGTGGCCAGGCTCATGGTGTGGCTAGGCTCATGGTGTGGCCAGGCTGATGATGTGGCTATGCTCATGGTGTGGCTATGCTCATGGTGTGGCCAGGCTTATGGTGTGGCTATGCTCATGGTGTGGCTAGGCTCATGGTGTGGCTATGCTCATGGTGTGGCTAGGCTCATGGTGTGGCTATACGCATGGTGTGCCCAGACTCATGGTGTGGCTAGACTCATGGTGTGGCTAGGCTCATGGTGTGGCTATGCTTATGGTGTGGCTAGGCTCATGGTGTGGTCAGGCTCATGGTGTGGTCAGGCTCATGATGTGGCTAGGGTCATGGTGTGGTTAGGGTCATGGTGTGGCTAGGGTCATGGTGTGGCTAGGGTCATGGTGTGGCTATGGTCATGGTGTGGCTAGGGTCATGGTGTGGCTAGGCTCATAGTGTAGCTAGGGCCATATGGTGTTGCTAGGCTCATAGTGTGGCTAGGATCGTGGTGCGGTTAGGTTCATGGTGTGGCTAGGCTCATGGTGTGGCTAGGCTTATGTTGTGGCTAGGCTTATGGTGTGGCTATGCTCATGGTGTGGCTATGCTCATGGTGTGGCTATGCTCATGGTGTGGCTAGGCTCATGGTGTGGCTATACGCATGGTGTGCCCAGACTCATGGTGTGGCTAGACTCATGGTGTGGCTAGGCTCATGGTGTGGCTATGCTTATGGTGTGGCTAGGCTCATGGTGTGGTCAGGCTCATGGTGTGGTCAGGCTCATGATGTGGCTAGGGTCATGGTGTGGTTAGGGTCATGGTGTGGCTAGGGTCATGGTGTGGCTAGGGTCATGGTGTGGCTATGGTCATGGTGTGGCTAGGGTCATGGTGTGGCTAGGCTCATAGTGTAGCTAGGGCAACAGGTACTCTGAGAGAGAACTCTATCAACATCAGAGGCCCGAGACTGTTCAACACGCTTCCACTACACATAAGGGGCATAACTGGCAAACCCCTCACAGTGTTCAAGAGAGAACTGGATAAGCACCTCCAAAGGATACCTGATCAACCAGGCTGTGACTCATACGTCAGGCTGCGAGCAGCCGCGTCTAACAGCCTGGTTGATCAGTCCAGCAACCAGGAGGCCTGGTCGACGACCGGGCCGCGGGGACACTAAGCCCCGGAAGCACCTCAAGGTAGCCTCAAGGTAGGTAGGTAGGGCCATATGGTGTTGCTAGGCTCATAGTGTGGCTAGGATCGTGGTGCGGTTAGGTTCATGGTGTGGCTAGGCTCATGGTGTGGCTAGGCTTATGTTGTGGCTAGGCTTATGGTGTGGCTAGGCTCATAGTGTAGCTAGGGCCATATGGTGTTGCTAGGCTCATAGTGTGGCTAGGATCGTGGTGCGGTTAGGTTCATGGTGTGGCTAGGCTCATGGTGTGGCGAGGCTCATGATGTTGCTAGGCTCATACTGTTGCTAGGCTCATACTGTGGCTAGGCTCATACTGTGGCTAGGCTCATATTGTGGCTAGGCTCATACTGTGGCTAGGCTCATATTGTGGCTAGGGTCATACTGTGGCTAGGCTCATACTGTGGCTAGGCTCATATTGTGGCTAGGCTCATACTGTGGCTAGGCTCATATTGTGGCTAGGCTCATACTGTGGCTAGGCTCATGGACTGTCTGTATGCTCCGCTTGAGGATAGGATCGAAATACCATAATTTCAATACTTAGTTTCTGGTGAGTATACATTTACGTCTACAGTCACGCATACATTTAAGTATATGTATACAGTCACATATACATTTAAGTATATGTATACAGTCACGTATACATTTTGTATTACCATACTAAGTACTTGTGTGAAAAGAAGAAAGAAGAATGAGAGTAGTGAAGACTTACTGTCACTCTCGTCCCGTCGGGACCTGGGCAGCTGGTTCCCGCGCGCCATCTTCCTGGACGCCTCCTCGAACTGCTGGAAGTGTTGTGATGAGCGCCCGGGCCCTCCGCCGCTGCTCTTCTGCCGCTGCTCCTGCTGGATCCTCTGCTCCAGTCTCTGTCTGAACTCCTCGGTGACGCGTGGTTGATCGTCTAGGGTCGTGAGCGCCTCTTGGTTCGATTCCTCGACTGACCTCTCGTTCACTCTCTCAACCTGCCATAGTTTAACCTATTAGTAGTTAACATAAGTGCATCCCCTATGGTGACTGTCTATATGGAAGCCAGTATGACTCATTCTCTTACATGTTCTATGTGTTCTTTGTCATGTTCCCCCATATGTTCACTGTGTTCAACGTATTCTCTTCCATGTTCTTTAAAATCAAATGTAGAATTGTATTCTTCCATTCAGTACAAATTTACCAAGACAAACTTTTCTTGTTGTTTTAACTAAACTTACTTGTCATTCATGTAAAAATAACCACGTTCATCATTTCTTAACTAAAATATTCGTCAACCAACTAAAAATTAGTCATGTTCATCATTTTTTCTAAACTTATTCGCTAATCAACTTGACTTCATGCTTCACAAAGAAAATGAATTTAACGTGCCATTTACTGAGTTTGAATTACTCGCGGCCCTAAACAAAGGTAAAGCCACATCTCCCGGAGAAGATGGTATCACTTATGACATATTGCGTCTGCTCCGTTTAGTACCAGGGAATCCTCTGCTTGAGCTGCATAATATAAGGTATGTTACTGGGAAACTTCCTAACTCTTGGACCAACAGTATAATCACTCCAATTCCCAAGCCAAATTTAGAGAATGCTTTCCACCCAATTTCCCTTACCAGCTGCATTTGCAAAACATTCGAGAGAATGGTCCTAAACCGTCTCCTCCACAGAATAAGAACCATGCTATCCCCCCAGATATATGGCTTCATGCATGGAAGGAGTGTGCATCATTGCATCATCACCTTTCTTACTCTACACACTGAAAAGTCATATACCACCTTCCTAGATCTTAAGTCTGCCTTTGATATTGCAAATCGACATGTTATCTTAAGTGAGCTTGCAAGAATGAATATTGGTGGTCGGCTTCTTTGTTGGATCAGGGGTTACTTATCCAACAGGAAGTCATTTGTGTTTTTCCAGAGGCTTAGAAATGTAACAAGAGACTTTGAACTAGGTGCCCCACAGGAAGGTGTCCTCAGTCCTACCTTATTTAATATCTTAATAAACACGCTGTTAAACTCTGTACCGAGCAAATCCAACGTCCACATCATTAGCTATGCTGATGATATAATGATACACACCACTGGGTATGCTAACACGCAGAACACTCTTAACTCTGTATTAGACTCATGTCAGGACCTAGGTTTAATTATCTCAGCAGAGAAAACAAAGATACTAAATCGGCGCCCACCCAGGCAGGGAGGAGCTGTTCGCAAGATGCAACAGTCTGATGGCTCCCAGCTTGACTATGTAAACACATTCAAATACCTTGGCCTTGAGGTGCCACTGTATGGTCCTGTTGTATTCAGACTCTGTCGTCAGTATAAAGAGAGGATCCGAGCTCTCAAGGCTGTTGCAGGTTATCACTCAGGCTATGGTGCCAATGTCAGAATTGTCAAAATGATGTACCTTGCATACATCAGATCTTTAGTGGATTATGCTGCACCTCTGCTTGTTTTGATGCCTGAGAGAGAGCATTCTCTCTCTCAAATCATATACACTGATGATTCCCTACACCGCACCACGGGTACAGCTGGATGTGCAGTTGTCCTGACAATGGGCGATGGCTTATATTTTGAGTTGGGAGTCCATATAAACAACTGGGCCTCTACCCTTCAGACCGAACTATTTGCCTTGCTCCTTGTACTGAAATGTGTTCAAATCTCCAAACTTAATACATTAATTGTAAGGGACTTTATATCATCCTTAAATGCTCCCAACTCTTTAAGACATAACTGTAACATGCTCGTGTCCCAAGCTAGACACAAATGCAACAAAATTGTTAATGATGGTAACAGAGTCCAGTTCATGTGGTCTCCATCTCATGTTGGCCTCCGAATGCATGATAGAGCTGATAAGTTCCACATATGTCGGTTGCTTAATTTAGAAACTGTACTTGTGGTCGATCTCGAACCCATTTATGATGTGACGACTTATACTGAATTTTGTAACTAGCTCATCAAGATTGTAACTTACTTAGCCAAATGAATTGTGGGGTTCAGTCCCTGAGCCCATTATGTGCCTCTGGAACCCTTTCCACTACCGCCCACAAGATGGGTATTGGGTGCATAATAAATAAACTAAACTAACTAATCAACTAAAAAAATAGTCACGTTCATCGTTTCTTAAGTAAAAATTTTCGTTAATCAACTAAAAATAGTCAGGACTAGCTTCGTTCAACACTGTTCGTAACTAAAATTATTTGTCAATCAACTGAAAATAGTCATGTTCATCATCTTTTCTTGTCTTTTCGTAACTAAAATAACACTTCTCTCAACTGAAAATAGGCGCATTCATTGTTTCTTAACTAAAATTATTCGTTAATCAACTAAAAATAGTCAAAGGTAACCTACATAGCCCAACTTACTAACTTAACTTACATAACCTAACCTTACTATCCTAACATAACTTACCTAGTCCAACTTACCTCTTCTTCCCTATCTGACCTAACTTACCCATCCTGATGTAACCATCGTACATAACTTACTAACTTAACTTACATAACGTAACATAACTTCTCTACCATCACCTACCTAACCTCCTCCACCTATTGTAACTTACCAAACATAACTTATCCAAACTGACATGACCTACCTTATATAAATATTCCTGCTGGTCACTTAGTGTTTCGTCAATCATTGTCTCATATTCATTTCTTCGGTTCAAGGGTTAATTTCTCAAATGGTCATTTATGCATTACAAGTGATATTTGTTAAAATTGGGTGTTTAAGCATTTCAAAGTATTTCGTTATATAAAGGCATTTGCTCGTTTCAGGGGTTGCTTTCTCAAAAGGATGTTTATGCATGAAAAGGGTTATTTGTTAAAATTAGAGGATTTTAGCATTTAAAGGGATATTTGTTAGATATGTCATTTTATGCACTTTGTATTTTATTTACTTAAAGTTCATCAAGTTGCTCATTAGTTGTATTTATTATGTTTGATATATTTGTTTTTATTCTTTGACCATTAACCTGTAGGGCAGTGGGTGAGGGTGTACAGGGGCAGTGGGTGAGGGTGTACAGGGACAGTGGGTGAGGGTGTACAGGGGCAGTGGGTGAGGGTGTACAGGGGCAGTGGGTGAGGGTGTACAGGGGCAGTGGGTGAGGGTGTACAGGGACAGTGGGTGAGGGTGTACAGGGGCAGTGGGTGAGGGTGTACAGGGACAGTGGGTGAGGGTGTACAGGGACAGTGGGTGAGGGTGTACAGGGGCAGTGGGTGAGGGTGTACAGGGACAGTGGGTGAGGGTGTACAGGGACAGTGGGTGAGGGTATACAGGGACAGTGGGTGAGGGTGTACAGGGACAGTGGGTGAGGGTGTACAGGGGCAGTGGGTGAGGGTGTACAGGGACAGTGGGTGAGGGTGTACAGGGGCAGTGGGTGAGGGTGTACAGGGGCAGTGGGTGAGGGTGTACAGGGGCAGTGGGTGAGGGTGTACAGGTGCAGTGGGTGAGGGTGTACAGGGGCAGTGGGTGAGGGTGTACAGGGGCAGTGGGTGAGGGTGTACAGGGGCAGTGGGTGAGGGTGTACAGGGGCAGTGAGGGGTGAGGGTGTACAGGGGCAGTGGGTGAGGGTGTACAGGGGCAGTGGGTGAGGGTGTACAGGGACAGTGGGTGAGGGTGTACAGGGGCAGTGGGTGAGGGTGTACAGGGGCAGTGGGTGAGGGTATACAGGGACAGTGGGTGAGGGTGTACAGGGACAGTGGGTGAGGGTGTACAGGGGCAGTGGGTGAGGGTGTACAGGGACAGTGGGTGAGGGTGTACAGGGGCAGTGGGTGAGGGTGTACAGGGACAGTGGGTGAGGGTGTACAGGGACAGTGGGTGAGGGTATACAGGGACAGTGGGTGAGGGTGTACAGGGACAGTGGGTGAGGGTGTACAGGGGCAGTGGGTGAGGGTGTACAGGGACAGTGGGTGAGGGTGTACAGGGGCAGTGGGTGAGGGTGTACAGGGGCAGTGGGTGAGGGTGTACAGGGGCAGTGGGTGAGGGTGTACAGGGGCAGTGGGTGAGGGTGTACAGGGGCAGTGGGTGAGGGTGTACAGGGGCAGTGGGTGAGGGTGTACAGGGGCAGTGGGTGAGGGTGTACAGGGGCAGTGGGTGAGGGTGTACAGGGGCAGTGGGTGAGGGTGTACAGGGGCAGTGGGTGAGGGTGTACAGGGGCAGTGGGTGAGGGTGTACAGGGGCAGTGGGTGAGGGTGTACAGGGGCAGTGGGTGAGGGTGTACAGGAGCAGTGGCTGAGGGTGTACAGGGGCAGTGGGTGAGGGTGTACAGGGGCAGTGGCTGAGGTTGTACAGGAACAGTGGCTGTAAAGTAAACACCCAGCAGTGTGTGTATATATATATATATATATATATATATATATATATATATATATATATATATATATATATATATATATATATATATACCAAGTGTGGTCATGTAGTACAATAGTCTACGTTCTCGACCTATACTCCTGGATCCCGGGTTCGATTCCCGGACGGGAGAGAAATAGTTGGAGGCGTTTCCTTTAAAGGTTTGACCTGAGGTTTAGGTAGCAGTGAATAGGTACCCGGTCCATATTCACTATCCTGGAGTTTGTAAATAGGTACCTGGTACCCGGGTGTCTATATTTCATAATAAAACGAAGAAACGGCCAAAGCTGTTTTGTACTGAAGGAAGAACTAGCAACTAATATTCATAGTTTCTACGTCTAACTGTAAGGAAAATGCTAACAATATTATAGACTGAGTTACAAACTGATGCCTACTAACTTCTTCCCTTTCCTACTAACTTTACTTCATATTTTACGAGAGAGCTCGTCCTGAATGAATACCCAACCATTATATGTGGCAGACACTTTTATTAAACATTCCTACAACGTATCTGTTGAGATTTCCTGAGAAAATTGAACCGATTAACACCTTTCTCAGTGGATTTTATACATTTGTTCTCTTTCCTTTGCCTCAAATGCATATATGATACCTACACAGTTAACCTTAGTTCATAGTTACAATCTTATC